TCTGAGTTTGAGGCCAACCTGGTCTACAAAGCGAGTTCCAGGACAGCCAGGACAGTTACACAGAGAAACCCTGTCTGGAAACAATAAACAAAAGTTATAGTCTTTAATTCGCTTACAAGGTATTGGGCCTCCATAAGAGTTTTTCATACACCTTGAATTTGGTTTACCTACTCCCTTTGCTGTTACACAGAGAAACTCATCTCGAGAAACGCGGGGAGGGGGAAAACAAACACACTATTCTATCAGAGGCTCCTAATTCAGTTCCTGGCACCCAGGTCAGAAGGTTCAAGCACATGCAATCATGTACACAGACACAATCTCATACATATAACTTAAAGATAACAGAAACAGACAGGTGGTGATGCTAGCACTCAGGAAGTAGAAGCAGATAGACCTCTGTGAGTTCAAGACCAGACTGGGCTACAGAGATAGTTCTAGGTCAGCTGAGGCTACACAAATAAATCATCTCAGAAAACGAAGGAAGGAAGGAAGGAAGGAAGGAAGGAAGCTTTAAAAGCCATTCAAAAAAAAAAATCACCTCATCATAGTTGGTATCATTCAGATCCTCATCATCATCGTCAGCTGCCTGGTTTTTCTTCATCTGGTCCCCCACAGTTCTCTTCCCTGGTGGGGCATGGCGATCATCCACAGGATCGTTTGCATCCCGGGCAGGCCCAATATCTGACCGAGTGGTGAAGCCAGTGGCACTGAAGGGAGCCCAAAGACATCATTATTTGAGTGACCTGATCCTATGCTTCCTTCTGATCACTGTTTAGTGACGTCACTTCTCACGCTTCTGGGAGCCTCCAAAGATTCTAGTACTAAGGAAGTGCTTATCCAATACTGGTCTTCTTTGTTTGCTTTTAACCGACAATGAGTAGGTGAGAGAAAGCTTCCTTCACCCCAAGGTGTCTCCATTTCTCCTCCACATCACTGCCCAGGCCTTCAGAAGTCCCTCCTCTCCAGTTCTGACCTCGCATTTCCAATTGCCTGTTGAGCACGACCTCTCCACTTTCATCCGGGCCCAAACTGAGTTTCCTTTTATGCACTCTGCAGCTGTTCCAGGATGATCAGCCATTAACAGCCATTCCGTAAGAGACACTACACAATCATCTTTCTCCCTTTTGAGTTCTCTCCATCCTGTGCATACCCAAATTGCTCAAGACCACAACTCCTGCCACAGCCAGAAATCCGTTTAACATCCCTGTCCCCAATCTACTCCGCTTCAACCCTCAATATAGCGCAGCCAGGTAGTGGTGCACACCTTTAATATCAGCACTTGGGAGGCAGAGGCAGGCAGATCTCTGTGAGTTCGAGGACAGCTTGATCTATAGAGCAAGTTCCAGGACAGCCAAGGGTACATAAAGAAGCCCTTTCTTGAAAAACCAAAACCAAACAAAGATTAAAAATAAAAAGTAGCTGATAAACTATGGGAGCTCTATCCTAACGCTAAGGTTCCCGCAGCCTCCAGCTCCTTGCGGTCAACCCCACTATTCTGGATTCCTTTCTTTTCTGGCCTCACTGAAACTGATCTTTTCCTCTTGAATTTATTTTTACTTATGTGTATGTGTGTGAACTGTGTGTTTATACACACCACATGCATGCAGGTGCCTGTGGAAGTCAGAAGAAGTTACCAGAGCCTTTGGAACTGGAGTTATAAGCTGTGAGTCACGTAATGCGGGTGCTGGCAATGGAACTCAAGTCCTCTACAAAAGTAGCAAGTGCTCTAACTGCTGAGCCACCTCAGTCTATTCCCTTCTATCTTTATTAAAGATGTTGAGCAAGGCGCTGGAATCAACCCAGGGCTGTGGCATGGTACACCTGGCTACACCTCCATCTGCCTTTGAAAACTTTTTGTTATTTATTTATTTAGTGTGTGTGACCTGGCACGTGTGTAGAGGTCAGAAGACAACATCAGAGAATCAGTTCGCCCCTTTTACCATGTGGATTCTGGGGATCAAACTCGGGCTTGACAGAGCCTTTACCCGCTGAGCAATCTCACCAGCTACATACCTGACTTTTTATTCGACTTTCTGTTTGTTTTTTGAGACAGGGTTTCTCTGTATATCCTTGACTATCCTCGAACTTGCTCTGTAGACCAGGTTGGCCTCTGGCTCCCAAGTGCTGGGATTAAAGACATGCACCACCACCCCATGGCACAAATTCCACTTTTCTTTACTTCTCCCAAATCTGACACTTCAAAATCCTGTTTATAAACCTGACTAAAATGCTACACTGCTGAGTATCTCTTGATTTCTGTTCCTCTTTGTGTGCTTATTGATACAAACAACAAGCCACTTCTAGTGAATTCAGGTCACCCGACGATGGGTGTTATCTAAATAGTATAACCAAGAGACTTACGTCTAATCAAATGCATAAAGGAGTAGGCTATTCATTCACCCAATGCCCTTTGGTTGGTAGGCATAGGCCATCCCGGTCCCGAGAGATGAGAATTTTAACAGGTGACCTATGGCCACACGTCCTAAAGGAAAAAGATGCTTAGGAATAAAGGGGTAGCACTCTCCTACTATACACAGCAGACTAAGTGCTCCTTACAGCCAACTTGCTTCATGCATATTACTTCAAACACCAAAACACTGAGGCTCAAACCCCTGCGTAATCCCTGAAATATGAGTCACATCTCAGGGTGGCAGTTAGATCTCATGGACCCGCTTATTCTGACAAAAAAGGCCACTGTGTCTGGCAGGTATTATACCGGACTATGTCGCGATGAACGTTAATCTTGTTTTTGTTTTGAGACAAGGTTTCTTTAAGTAACCCTAGCTGTCTGGGAACTCGCAAGGTAGACCTAGCTATCTTGGGAATTGCTAAGTAGATCAGACTGGTCTCTAACTCAAAGATACTAAATTACCCCCACCTCCCCCATTGCGCCCTGCCTCCCAGGCACTTTTTTTTTTTTTTTGGTTTTTTTCGAGACAGGGTTTCTCTGTAGCTTTGGAGCCTGTCCTGGAACTAGCTCTGTAGACCAGGCTGGTCTCGGACTCACAGAGATCCGCCTGCCTCTGCCTCCCGAGTGCTGGGATTAAAGGCGTGCGCCACCACCGCCCAGCTCCCAGGCACTTTTTTGTTGTTGTTGTTGTTTGTTTTGTTTTGAGATGCGGTCCCTCTCCGTAGCCCTAGTGGTCACTAGTATAGTTCTCAATAGGCCTAAAGCGAGCTGCCACCCGTCCTGGTACAAGTTCCGCCCACTGCCTTACCCCCGGCCCAGCCCAGGTACGTAGCCGAGGGGCGCGGGCATGCCCAGGAAAGGCTTTTTCTTCTTGTTCATGGTGGTGTTGTTGAGCCAAGGAGCAGGTACGCGGCAAAAGGCACAGAATCCTCCCGGTGTCGCAGCTGGAAGAGATGCAAGCACTACGTCGCCCGCGCCCCGGAAGTAGAGAATGAGAGCGCGACAAGCCCCGCCCACTCAGAGCCTCAGCGGAAGTCAAAGATGTGGGTTTGCAAGGCATTTCCGGTCGTGGCGGTCGGGTGGGTTTGCTGTGGGAAGACGAGCACGCGTGCGCGCGAGCGCGCAAGGCACTAACTATCAGAGCGCAGAGGGCCGCTTAGGCGGGCGGAAGGGTCGTGCGTTCTGTTGCAGTGCCAGGAACGGAACGCGGCCTGAGCCCAACATTTAACACAAGTGCTCAGGAACGTCCCAGTGCAGGCTTAACCACGTACTCGCCTGGCCTTAGAAGACTGATTGAGCGAACATAACCAGGACTCCGACTTGTCTGGCTGTACTGGGGGGCCACCGACCGTCGAGAGACTGCGGGCCGGCGTCACAAGCTTGGGAGTGATTGTGTGCCCAGTGACCTGAGTAGACGCGCACCACTGTACTCTACACAGATATTTTCTGCCTCTGTGCAACTCTACCTGCAAGACAATGTCAGTCCTTCCTGTTGGGTAATAATAGCCTCAGGTCAGACTGTTCTGGGCAATAACCCCAAGCTATAAAGAATTGCCTAGATCCAGGGACAGTGGGCTCTACCTGCAGAAGCAATTTGCCAGGGGTTTGGAAAACAACCCTGCCCCCAGTTAAATCCCAAAAATAGCTGTAACTTCCTGGTTGGGGCCCCTCAGTGTTTGAATAAAGCAGTCTCAACCTGTTGAGATAGAATCTGCCTCTTTGCCCTACTTTTCTTACACCACCCACACCTGGGGAGAGCATCAGGCTCTAGGGGCAGACAGAAAAAACTGCAAGTTGCTATGGCCTACAGGCTATGCTGGACCAGGCAACCAGACTTCTGCGTTTTAGTGGAGTACTGACTCAACCATTCTTGCCTCAAGTTCTTAGGAACAGGATTGACTCCGAACACTGAACCCCTGGGAACTGAGCCTGATTCAGGGGCTCAACAGAGAGGCGTAGCACCCCTTGGGGTTCAAAGCAAAGTGGCCCGCAGGCGAGTCAGCTAGTGTCTCTGGGAAGTGGGTCTAAGAAAAGAGAATGCTCCAGTAAAGAATGAGCAAATGGGGCTGGAGATACAGCTCAGTGATTAAGAGCACTTCTCTTTTTTTATTTTATTTTATTTTAATTTTTTTGGCAGAGGGTTCACCCACATGGCAGCTCACAGCTGACCATAACCCCAGTGGCAGGGAACCTATGTATGCTTCTGGGCACCGGGTACGTGCATGGTGCACAGACATATACATTCGGGCAAAACGTTCATAAAATTTTTGAAAGGGATGAATAAGGACACACGGGTGTTGGGGAGAGATTGATCCGGTCCTTGGCTGAACACGGTAAGTACGAGGCCACAGGTGTGGTGAGGGCCCCCACCGTTACCACACCGAGGGGACCGACAGTTCCTCGCTTGCCAACTACAAAGACCCTCCAGTACACTGCAGAAGAGGCTTGTCCGCGGAGTCGTACCCAGGTCCGCAAGGACGCCTTTTGCCCTGGCGGACACCCTCAGCATTCGCAGCCCCGCGCGCCGCCGATACACCTCCGAGCTCCCGGAGCGCGCCTTGCGCCCAGGGCTGGGCGGCAGGTGCTTTGCCGCGCAGACTCCCGGGCCGCAGAGACCGGCTCGGGCTCGGCCGGCTCCGGCGGGTAGGGACGCGGTGCGCGTTGCCCATCGGCCGCACTGGCCGCCTAGTACTCTGCGAGGGGCGTGTACCCGAGCCGCGTACTGGCGGGCTCCATGTTCACCGAGCTGAGGTCAAAGCTGAGCCCCCCGCGAGCTCGCGCCGGGGCTGTGCGTACAGGCTTCGGGGAGCGCCCGGATGTGGACGGTGAGCTGGGATGCACCCAGGAGCAGGAATATCGTGGGCGGTTGGGTGGGAGCGGGAGGGGTACGGGGCCCAAGAAGAACACTGGGGCTGGACTCAGAGGGTTTACGGGGGCGGCCACCACGGGAAAGTCTTTGTCCAGCATTACGGGGGCAGAAGGGCGGCGGTCAGTCTCAGGCCTTGACTTGGGGTGGGGATGACTGGCAGGAGCTTCTTCACAAAGCTGACACCACGCTCTGATCACCCTTTACTTCACACAGAGAAAACCCTCCCCAAACCCTAACGTTGGGGCGGAGAGGCATATAATTCAGAGGTTGATATTGGGGAAAACAGACCCTGACCCAGGGCAGAGAGGAAAGAGGCGGGGCCTGGGCAGCCCTGGCAGGTGCGACTGGCTGTGGCTAAGACGTTAGACTGGTTTCCCTTATGAGATGCAGGGAAGTCCAGGGAAGGCTCTGAAAAGCCCTCAGACTACAAAGCCTATTATTCCCTGGACTTTGCTCCCTTAGAATAAGTCTTACAGTACTACAGGCTACCTCAGAGTGGTGGCCACACTCTTCTTAAGCCCGCCTTCTTTCTTCTATTGGCTTGCAGTTACCACATAGAGTCATCTGTCCATATAAAGTGTTTATGGGTGCTTTCTGTGCACCAAGATCTGGGCAAGCCTCAGGGATCCAGACACTGGTCATCCCCAGACTCATGTCAGTAGTAATTCCTATAAATGACTCTAAAACTCATTAACAAGTGCAATGAATTAGTGGGGAAGAAGGTCCTCAGTACATCTGTGCTGACCAGTCCAGTCCCAGCTGGCATTCACACTCGTTGTTCTGGGGTAGGCCCTGCAGGAGCCACACGGAAGAGAAATCAAGTATGTGTCTGGCAAGTTCCTGTTGTCAGGAACTTTCCCCCAAAGTTCAAACTTTGCTGTCAATGAGTCATAGTTAGTGACTGTTGAAGACAAAATGTGTGTATACACCCTGGTCCTGAATGACGTGTGGGAGGCTTATGTGTCAGCCTAAGCAAGACAAGGGCAAAGCAAGTCAGGGCAGCCCTGATGATGGCTCCCCTGGCTTGGGAAGTGCACCCTCTAATCGAAGCACCCTTAGAGACAGAGTGAGCTATCAGCTGATAAAGGTAAAGGCATGTCCACTTTATCTTCTGAAAGAAGTCTTGAAGACAACTCTTGCACATTTTCTTCCACCTCAGGGGCTTGAGATTCCCCCAGAGGAGAAATTACCCACTCATTGGTAGAGAAAGGATTTACTTGTCAGGAAGATGGCTCACAGGAGAGGAGCCTACCCCTGACCACTCTGACTAGGAATCCCTGCATACAGCCACTGCCCATTTCAGCTTCTGCCAGACCCTCCTAGAGCACACAGTGTCGGCTGAGAACATTCCCTGCCACCTGCCTCGGACACCAGGCACCAGCCTCACCTGGCATGACTCCCGTAGCCAGAGGGTATCCAGCAGCAGGCCAATCAAGCTCCTTCAACAGCCGGGCTCAGAGATCCCCCAGGTACCCACCTACCTCACCTAATCTTAGCCCTTGCTCTCAATTTTGATCACCTTCATTCTGCTGACCTTTCCTCCCCACCTGCAGGCACGGCTATACTCTGATCACTATGGCTTGTACCATACAAGCCCTTCCTTGGGTGGTCTGACGAGGCCAGTGGTCTTGTGGAGCCAGCAGGATGTTTGCAAGTGGCTCAAGAAGCATTGTCCTCACAACTACCTCGTCTATGTCGAGGCATTCTCCCAGCATGCCATCACTGGTATGGTGGGTCATGGGTTAGGGAGGACCAGGGTGCTTGAGAGAGAGAGAGCCTCCACCTCACTTGGTCTGCTTTGTCTCCACCTGTATCCTCTGAATCAGCCCCTTTTCTGTGTCTCTGTTGTGTGTGTGTCTCTCTGCCTCTCCCACTCTCTCTGCTCTGTTTTTAATGCTTCTTTGATTGGCCTCTATCTTTTGATCAGTCTTGTTTTTCTCTCTGCCTTTCTGCCTTTAAGAACCCCTGAAAATCTGCTCTGCTTTCTTAGTCTTCGGTGTTTTGTTTTATCTTGATGGAGAGTCTATCAAGTGGCCTATCTGCCTAGCCTCTGTTTGCCTCACTGCCTTCTTCCTTCTTTCTCCCTAGGCCGAGCTCTGCTTCGACTGAATGCAGATAAGCTGCAGAGAATGGGGTTGACCCAAGAGGCCCAGAGGCAGGAGGTGCTACAGCAGGTGCTCCACCTGCAAGTGCGCGAGGAGGGGCGGAGCCTGCAGCTGCTCAGCCAAGGTGAGGGGAAGGAACTAGGCTGAGGGTGTAGGATAACTATTCTGACCATAGAAGGGTGGCTGGGGGCATCTGGTAAGGACCATCCTGGGGTGTTACCAGAAATCCAACTCTCCCTCCTATCCATCCCACAGCTTCCTTTGGAAACATGTCCTAGCTGCTGCCTAGTCTTGGACCCCAGACCCCAACACTGTGACCAGAGCCCACAGCCAAGGATGAGGCAGAGCTGGCCCTACAGCCCCTTTGGATCCTGCAAGATACCCTAGTGGCTAAACTTAGCCCTGTGAACAGGGAGGGGACAGGACTGCCAGCTCCAGGTTCTTCTGGAGAGGCCCTATAGGTTCTGTCCTATGGCTGGGTGGGTGGTTGCTGCCTCCTTGAAGACCCTTCTTCTGGGATCCAAGCCCAGGTCCACCCCCTGGTGCTGCTGGCAGCAAACAGGGCAGCTGCCTGGAGCAAGCGTGGGGTTTGAATGTCCCCAGACTCCCAAGGAGTCTGTTTTATTTATGCTCCCTCCAACATGTGACCATCCCCCATCCTCTGAGTCCTGAGTCCTCCCCTTAAGTGTTTCAATTCTGTGTTTTCCCCAGGCACGTCCAGGTCAGCCACACAGCAGGACAAGTTTTCTTTTCTTTTTTTTTTTTTTTTTGGTTTTTCGAGACAGGGTTTCTCTGTGGTTTTGGAGCCTGTCCTGGAACTAGCTCTTGTAGACCAGGCTGGTCTCGAACTCACAGAGATCCGCCTGCCTCTGCCTCCCGAGTGCTGGGATTAAAGGCGTGCGCCACCACCGCCCGGCTGACAAGTTTTCTTGACTCTCTTTTCAGGTGTATTCCTTCCCTAACCCTCTCAGAGTACAGCAGGCCCAACCTGTTGTCCACAGTGATGGTCATCAGCCCAGCTAGGTATGATGCCATGTGTGTCACTCAGTGACTATGAGACTTCAGCATATCCTATCCACTCATGAGAACTGAAGTTGAGAGGGGTCCAAGATGCTCAAGCTCCAAAGTCAGTATGTTGTACAGCATAGATTCCAGTGCTGTACAGGTGGCTCCGTGCATAGCCCACCAGTTCAGCAATGTTCTCAACCTTACCTTTGAAGGAGTCTTGCTTTTAAGCATCTTCCCTATTCTCTGGCTCTTAGAGACCACCTTGAAGAAACATGTGTACATACACGCACACCTCTCTACAGCTTTCCCAAGAAAGCCTGTATAATTTTTCCAAGAAAATTATGGAGGGCTGTTCCTCTCAGGTGTCACCAGACACCTGAACAACTCTTCCTTGGGTATTTGGGCAGTAGTGCTGCCAGGGAAGAGGGATAGCAAGGATGTCCCTGGCAGCTCCCTCTCAATCTGCCATCTGCTAACTCTCCCAGGGACCCTAAAATCTCAGGGACAGTTGATGCTTGGCCTCCAGTCCCCTCTGTGTGCCAGAAGCTGGCCTCAATTCAAGGTTGCTCATTATTGTTAATTTAGGCCACTGACCTGGCATCTCCCATCCTGTATGCCTTCCACCCATGGGAGGGCCACCTTGTTGTGTCTGCCTGCTTTTAGAATTCCCCAGTCCTTGTTCTTGCAACCAGAGAGCGCGCTCTCTCTCTCTCTCTCTCGCTCTCTCTCTCTCTGCCCCCTTTCTCTCTCCTCTGTCTTTTCTACCCTATGCTCCTGTCCTGTCTTCTTTGGTTTTTTGGTCACCTTTTTATACTATGACCAAAAAAAAAAAAAAATCAGAAATAAATCTGTTTCTGAAATGCCACCAGGTGTTGGATCTCTGAGGTGCAAAGGGGTGTCTAGGACAATGCCTACAGATAGAACCACTAGAGGGCAGTAGTGTTACATTCTGGAGACCTACCTGGTAACTCCAGGACACCTCTTAGCATAGAGGTGGATGTTACCCCAGTTGGGGACACAACAGCCTGGGTACATGGAATGAGGCTCTCTGGAGCTGATGTAACAGTGGGTTCATGTTGGTTCATAGTCTGGGAGTGAAGCTTGGACATGGTTTGTGACCCAGGCCTAGATTTGATTCCCAGCACAGAAACAGAGGTCCTCTAAAAGTAAAGAATCCTTATCTATTGTATTTGTCTAGTATTCCTGGGCTCAAGCTGCATCACTAATCTATTTCTGTGATCACTCTCTTCAGACTTACATATCCCCTTTAAATTTAGGGTCCACTTGGGTAATCCAGACAGATCTCAAGAACTTCAGTCACATCTAAAAAGACTCTCCCCCCCCCCCAATATAAAATATCACTACAGGTTTAGAAATTTAACACTGTCATCTGTTGGGGCTCACTTTTCAGCCAGGCCTGACAGCCCTGACATACATAACATATGAAGCATACATCCTGAACACAACGATCAGACATGAAAATAAGAACACAGAGGCATGAGCCACAAACACAGTGACACCACAGCTCGCAGACATGCCTGAATACATACAAACACACTTCCATCCTTTTTTGTTTGTTTTTCGAGACAGTGTTTCTCTGTGCAGCTTTGGAGCCTGTTCTGGCACTAGGTCTGTAGTCCAGGCTGGTCTCTGCCTCCCGAGTGCTGGGATTAAAGGCACGTGCCATCACCGCCTGGTTCACATTTGCATATTTGGTCAGAAACAATGATACCTACAAAGATTTATAACATCCCCATATGCACAGATATAATTACCCAAGGACACAGATACTAATGCATAATCCCCCACTAACACAAACACACAAGACATAGTATACCACGTGGTGCACATAAGCACACTATGTTGCAGAATGACTTGGCACCTAGATACACACAAAAGTCAGTTACAGCGAGCTGGGACTGGAGAGATAACACAGTGGTTAAAAGCACTTGCTGCTCTTGCAGTGGTTGAGTTCCCAGCACCTGCTTCAGGCAACTCACAATTGCCTGTAACTCCAACTTCAGGGTATCTGATGTCCTCTTCTGGCCTCTGTGTGTGCGCACACACACACACACACACAAATGTTTAAAAATCAGCCCTTTAAATCCTGACACGTAGTTACACATGGATGTTCATAGCCTGGATATATTATACACACCCCACACACCCTGACATCTAGTGCCCTGAATACTAAACACAGGGGAGCATCAGCTTTACCTAGGAGACATGCAGATATACCATGGCATTATGATGCCTACACACGACTGCCACCTGACACACATGGTCACTTAGACACATACTAATCTGTGAGTACTGGCATATCACACTTGTGAACACTCAGATTTATACAGGGAAAGCTGATGACCTTGAATGTACCTCAGTCTGCACACTGACCCCATCAACACTCTGATGTTCCACACCCTGGTGAAATGGCAAGAGATGGCAAGTGCCTTTAATCCCAGCATACGGGAGGCAGTAGCAGGCAGATCTTTGAATTTGATGCAAGCCTTGTTTACAAAGTGAGTTCCAGGCTAGCCAGGGGCTACACAGGGAGACACTGTTTCAAAAAAAAAAAAAAAAAAAACAGATGGAACCAGAGCAAAGGTATTGTGGTTACCAAATAAAAGCCCAGTTTTCCTCTCTTCCGTCCTGAATGCTAAGTTCCTCACTAGGAGATGGAGGCTGTGAACAAGTGATAGCTCATCTCTTATTAGAGCTTCCCTTCCCCAGTCTGTCAAAGGAGAATTTATTTCTCTCTTATTTATTTATAAACAAATCCTGTGGGTTGGAGCGTCATTACTCCCAGATCTCACACTCGCAGCCCAGACTCTGGGCCAGAGAAGCTAGGTATTGGCCATTGTTCTAGGACCACCGTTATAATGATGGGAGTTGATTCAATAGCCAGTAATCCCAATAAAGCCCAATGATTTTACAGTGTGTAGATTACTAAAGTGGCCACAGAAACAGATAGAGGCTGGGGCACAGCCTGACTGACAGTCTATGGAGGTCTTATAAGAGCAACCTTCCTTCATAGACCGACTTCAACTAGTGCAACCAGAGAGTTCCTGACATGCCTCAGTTTACCGGATTGTCAACAAAGCGACTCCTGCCCTAGGCACGCGTGGCAGGCCTCTTGGTCCTGGAGACAAGTACCACCAAAGCTTCTGAGCTCACAGCCTAAGCCTCGAGGATCAGGCAGGCCCCACTGGCCCCTTCCCCGCAGCGGCTGCCTCGTGAATACCGCGAGAGTTCGCCCCCTCCCTCCCCCCCCCCCCCCGCAGTAAAACTGTCAAAGGTGGGAGGGGCGGGAGCGCGCATGTGCGCAGCACGGCGCGCAGTGTGCGCCGCCCGGACCCCGCGCCCGCGCCCCGCGCCCCGGCCCCGGCCCCGGCTTCGGCTCCGGCTCCGGCCTGGCCCGGCCGCACCCATTGGGCGCTGCAGGTAAGCGCCGGCCCTGCTCGCCCCACCGCGGCCCCGGCGCCACCCTGCGCCCCGCACCAGCTGTGTGCCCAGCCCGCCTCCCCGCCTCCCCGCCGCGCCCGGACCCGCGCCGCGCCCCGCTCCCCGCGCCGGCGCCGTCCTCCCGCCTCCTCCTTCTCCAGAAAAAGTCGCCATTTTGGTTCACTGCCTTCGCCCCCCCGCGGTTGGCGCTTCCGGGCCAGGCTGCCGTCCGTGTCCGGCCTCAGGTGACAGGTGGGTGGCCACGGGCCTTCAGGTGCTCCTCTTGGCAGCGCTCGCCAGGCTAGGCGAGTGGCCTGAGTCCGCGGCGGCACCCTATTCCCTGCAGGCTACAAGCGAGAACCTGGGGACCCCAGGTGGTGGAGGGATTTTTTTTTTGCCTTCTCTGGCCACCGTGCCTCACCCCTAACTCTGATCTCTGCTCAGGCACTGAAGGACTGGAAGGGTGCAGCACGCCCTTTACCCTTGGCCTTAAATGTTATTAGGATTCTGAATGAGTCGTTTCCTTCTGAAGCTACAAAACGAGGACACTCAGAGAACTTTGGTTGATTTAAGACCCTCCCTTCCCTCCTACCTAGGCCCAGGATGGGGTGTTGTCCTTGGCAGTGGACAATGACTGTCCTGACCTCTAACCTGAGCGCTCCTGATGTATATAGCAGCCCCTATACATCCCCTCTGATTTGAGTTAATCAAAAACTGTCAGGAGAGGGCTCACCTGCTTGAACCTTGCTCTTTGGTACCGCCCCCTTCTGTGGCTTTGGGTGCCTCCCAGAGGCCTCCACATGGCTATGCTGAGCGCCCCCACCTCAGTTTTCAGGGTTTGAGATGTTCCAGGGTTGGGACATCTGAGCGGGGGTAGGGGGTGTGAGATGCCTCCCACCCCCTCGCCCCGCAGGCATGTTCTGTGACTTCAGCCTGGCAGGCTCTGGAGCTTGGGCCAGTATTGGCCATAACTCGTTTAGCTGAAGTGGGTTCCTAGGCAAGGAACTTAGATGTTGAGAACAGCAGGAAATGGTGGCCTGCTGGCCTGTGGTGGCTTAGGATCAGAACCAGTGCCATCATCTGGGTGGAGGAGCCCTGACTACACAGAAGGCTGAGAAGACAGGCAGGTAGGGATGGCTCAGGAAGCATGGAGACCAAAATGGAGCTCCAGTGAGTCTTAACTTTGCCCACCAGAGAGATGGGTTGCACGTGGTGGGGAAGTGGGCCTTCAACACCCACGTTGGCTGCTTCTGTGTCCATAGAGGGGTCTTCTAGGGTGCCCATCTGGGTACG